AACAGTTTTTATTGTGTACCATAGATTCTGATATGTTGCATTTCCATTATCTTTTGATCCTAGGAATTTTTTTAGTATCTTCCCTGATTTCTACAGTGACCAACTGATTATTCAAGAGTCTATTTTTCAATATCCATATTCGTGTGCTTTTTTTTGCTACTGATTTCTAGTATCATTACATTGTGATCCAGTAGGGTGAATGAAATTATTTCATCTTTTGAATTTATTGACATTTGCTTTATGGCCTAAAGTGTAATCTGTTTTGAAGAACAGTCCATGGGCTTCTGAAAAAAATTTTATATTATTTTGTTTAATGAAATACTGTAGATGTCTGTTAAATTCCTCTGTTCTGTGATATCATTTAACTTATTATTTTATATTTTTTGGTCTGGTTGATCTGTCTGTTTGTGAGAGTAGGGTGTGGAAATCTCCCATTATGATTGTATTGGTGTCTGTCTGTCCTTTTATATCATTTTATAGCAATTTTTAATGAAATGGGGTACACTGATATATCATGCATATATGTTTACAAATTTTACCTCATGGTAAAATTTTCCCTTTACCAATTCATAGTTACTTTTTTTTGTTTCTTCTCACCAGTTTTTGTTGGAAGTTAGTCAAATTTGTTAGATGTAAGTATAGCTACTCCTGCTTTCTTTTGGGCTCCAGCTACTTTGAATAACATTTTCTATCCTTTCACTTTCAGTCTGTTTTTATGCTAAAAAGGTATGTTCTTTATGAGGAACATACAGATACTTCTTGTTTTTTGATCCACTCTGCTATTTTACTTTCTTTAATTGGAGAGTTAAGTCCATTTACATTGAGTGTTATTATTAAAATTATGTACTAATTCTTGTCATTACACTTTTCTAGAGCATAATTTATTCCTGTTTCTCATTCATTTAGCTAATCTTCCAGTGAAATTTATTTTTTCTCTTGGCCTTGTGGGTATTGTTCCCCTCATCTCTGTTTATGATTCCCTTAGGTATTTTCCACAGTGTTGGTGTGATAATCATGCATTTTTTAGTTTATTTTTATTGCATACAGTACTTATTTAGGCTTTGATTTTTGAAGGATAGCTTTGGAGGATATAGTAATATGCATTGATAGTTACTTCTTTTCAGGGCTTGAAAAGGCTTACTCCAATCCTGCCTAGCTTTTAAGGTTTCTGTTGAGAAATCTGCTCTTTTTCATATGTGTTTGTTTTTTACAGGTAATTTGGCAGAACTCTCTAACAGATTTTAATATTCTTTCTTTGTTCTGAGTTTTTGGCATTTTGTCTATGATGTGTGGTGGAGAGGTTCTTTTTTTAGTCATGTGTATTTGAGGTTGTGATTGCCTTCTTCTTCTGAGTATCCATCACATTCCCCAGATTTAGGAAATTTTTTGAAAAATTTCATTGAACAAATATTTATGCTACTAGTCTATATTCAATGCTCTTTGTGAGTCTGATGATTCTACATTTTTTCTTTTGGAGTTATGTAGAAGTTTTGGATAATCTTTTAATTGTTTCTTGTAGTTTATCTTTCTTTTTGATTGAATATTCTAGTTCATCCACCTGTCTTCAAGTCCTCATATCTGACTGATCTTGCCTACTGTCAATACCTTCAATTGAATTTTTAATTTTATTTATTGAAGTTTTCATTTCCAGAGATCTCAGTAAGTGGCTCTTTCCCCATGATGGGCTTTTAGTGTGATTCAGCATGAAAGCAAATACTAAACCTATTTAAACTACTACATTATATCCCTACCACTGCATTGCAAAGGAGAGCACATACCAGAAATAAAACAACATCCTAAAAATATAGAATTTAAAATTTAAACTTGTTTTAAAAGTTCTGTTCTCTTGACTTTTATAGCTGGCTTAGTGGTCAGAATAAAAGGAATGGCTGTAGATGAGACAGGAAGGAGAGAAGGAGGACAGATTTGAGAGGTTGTGAGAGAAGGTAAGTAAGAGGATATGAGGAGGGAATATAAATGGAAAGTGAGAGAAGATACAGAAAGATTGAATCCAATTAACTAACAGAAGCATAAATTTAGCAAACTCTATGAAGCAACACTTAGTGTTGGAGAACATAATATGACATAGTAAGTGTGATATTTAACTGATGGTGTCAAATAAACTGGATCAGCATACTTCTGGGTGTAGCTGAGGGGATTTACTTATGATTTCCTGAGATTTATTGGGTGTAAGTGACAGCAAACAATGGGGTTGGTGCCTAAATGGCATAAAAGGGAAACAAAGAAAGAAGGCTTGCTTCTTTTTCTTTGGAGGAACTCCAGGCTTCACTTTCATCTTGGATGTCATCTCCTGGCTTCCAACACAGACTCTCCAGACTTCCAGCACAGATGCTACAGCCTTTCATTGTAGACCCTTTGGCCTCCTGATACAGACTCCAATGGGACACTACAGTGAGCTCCAGGACTTTGACTAGATCCTTTGGATCTCCAGCATGCAGACAAACTTTTTACACTCTTCTACATCTGATTTTGTGGGCAGCCATTGCAAGCCAATCCTGCAAATTCTTATATATTTATATATCTTGAATTAAGTCTGTTTCTCAAGTAAACACTGGTTGATACAGTAAGATACCATAGAAGTAAAAATGATAAATAGCATTCATAAGTACTCATAAGCACACATACTCCCCTACCTGGCAATTATAAAAAGAAATCACATTTATAAAATAAAAGGTTTGATATTCCTCCTTTTGGTGGTATTCATATTGGACTCCAGAGGTCTCCTTCACCTCTATTTAAATACAAGAAGCTGCATAGAACATGAAGGGTATGGAGCTCTGCCTCTCTGTGGTTTTGGATGGAAACTTGGGTATGTCAGCAAGTGGCTATACTTACTATCTCCTACTTACTGACTTAAATTCTGTACCTGGGGATGTGAAGTGAGAATCCTGAGTGTTCACTGAATCTTTCACTTGTGTAGTCTATTGGCAAGTCTGGAACACGACCCAAAGCTCCATAAATTTCTAAACCTAGCTTTTGGAGTTGGAGCTGAAGAGTGTCTGCATGCTGCTGTCTCTACTCTGAATGGCTCTGAGCAGATTGGAGGGCAGATGAGTGCACAGGATCTGTGTTTGTATTATGTGCTGCTTGTGTCCAGCCTTCTCTTGGTCTTTGCAGGCATATGGGAGAAATATAACTCAACCTTTTAGATGTTAAATGTGTTTAGTTTGTGTCTCTTAAAAGAACAAATTACAAAGGAAAACAAAGGTTGAGAGTAGAAAAGGTTTATTTAGACAGCATTTGAGAGACAAGAGGGGTCTCTAGTGGGTTGTCATGGAAGTCATTTTTGGGGGGTAATTTAAATAGGAAAGTTACAATGTGGGTATAACATGGGTCAAACTGTAGTCAACCTATAGAATTATAAGCTGCTTAGCTAATATTGATCCAATAGGGAAATGGGTCATGTGGAAAGGTTATATGGAAAGAACAAAGGCATTTTTGCAGAGATGGGTCTGGATGTTGTAGTCAGCTACCTGGGTGACTGACGCCTAGCTGGACCTTTTTGGACCAGGTGATGCTAATTATATTATAACTCTAAATTATTTTTTATCCCTTAGGGAGGCACACAGGTCTGGCCATTTTATCTTTATCATGAGGGAGGTCTGACCTTTTTTTAGAGGTGCCTCCTACCGCAATATTGATATCTTTAATTTTTGCTGACTTTTTTGAGATCCAAATCTCTCTTTGACTGTATATTATTTTTTTATCAAACTTTTCTGTCTATATTATTTTTCCCTTTGAAGAGGTATCTCTAACTGTGGTTAGGGGAGAATGGATGAAATTTTTATCTAGTTGCTTTGAGCAGCTAGATTAAAAGAGCGAAGAGTCAATGTAGAGGAGAATGTAGTTAGGGGCCTTTTCCAGAGGGCTAATCTAAGGGGCTGTGGATTGAAGTCATGTTGTAGTTTAGCAGTTATAAACACCCATTATAAGGCTGATTTAGTGAATCTTGTAAGAGGAGTCTGGCACATTTGTTGTTGATTTTATTTGTATGATTACTTGGAGTTTGGCAGCCTGTAGGTGAGATAAACACATTTTTCAAAAGATTAAAGCATGTATAACTAAGGCATGAGCAAAAGAATGGAAAGGCAGATTGAGAAAAAGAGCTACATCTAGACAATGTTTTCAAAAGACTAGAATAGCAATTGTAACCAGCTGGCTCTTATGCCTGTTTGTTGATTGAGGTTATCTATAAGTCTGATATTTTTTTTTACCAGATTTAAATTACTTATTTAAAGACAATACATTTTACTTATTAGTGTATAAGTCTCTTTAGTTTTAGTAATAAGAAGATGGAGAGTTTGGTGGTTTTGCAGGACAATTTTAGCTAAGGAATTTAAAGATTTTGTGATTTTCTTGCTGTTATTGTGGCTTTTTAGCCTCATTAAACCATAACAGTGGTCAGCTACAGGTGTAGCTGGAAACTGTCAGCAGAGGTCAGTGATTGGAGCCCCTTTTTATATCTAGCCTTTATTATTATAGTATTATTTTATATAACTTTTGGTTATATTTTTTGCTGGATGTTTAAGACTAAGTTAAAGTGAGACCTCTGCTGGTTAAAATTAACCTATTGTTTTTTATCAAGGTCAGTTAAGGTTCTTTAGGGGTTATGTTTGGAACACTGTATACACCCTCTTAGCTCTTTTGTTAGTGTCAACCACCAGGATAGGTCATATTCTGTTACGGATGAGTTGGAACAATAGAGATGTGCCACACTCTGTATCAGATTGGAGTCCGTTTATTAAAGCCAGTGACTGAGATGGGAATAGTGCCCTGAAAGTTCTTTCAGTGCTTAAAAGCAGTTTGATTTCTCCTTTTAAATCATGCCTTCAGTTGGGGGGGGCTCAGGGGGAGCAAGCAGAATTTTATGGAAGCAGAACCATGCCAGGTTAGTGGGGGGGGGGAGGCAAAAGGAAGTTTCACACACTAGGTGAGCTACAAAACATCCTGCAACTGCAGCAAGTTTACTCCCAAACAGGATGTGGGTTTTGGATGCTTTGTCTAAGCACAAGCACACAATGGTGGTAAGATTCAAAATGGAGTTGGGTTGGTTAGCACATTTCCAACTGAAGATGGTATTGGGTTGGTTATCACAGTTCTTGCTTGACCATGTGACTTTTTGTAGCAGCATGGAAGACATCATGGGTGACCCTCTTTTTTGGCACACTGTATGTTAGTTAAATTTTGTCTTTTGAGGTCTAACAAGCTTTCTGTTTAGGAGGTTGCATGACTCACTAAAGTTGTAAGATCTTGTAGAAAAAGTCCCCTCATGTCCTGGGTCTTTGTTGAACTTTGAGGGCTATGGCCAAAATATTTGCTATCTTTTTTACCCAAGTTATTTTTTTTTTTAGTTCTGGTCGCTAAACTTTAGTTGCTAAACATCTAGAAGAGAAGGCTAGTTATATCAGTATTGTAGTTGGAGTAGAGTAGACATTGAGCTACCAGAGGGCAATCAATCCTCTGACTGCCTAGAAAGAAGGATGGTGAGGGATAAAGAAAGAAAGAAAGTCAGTAAAGACTTGTGTAATTCTAAAGTACATGGAGGACTGGGAGCTCAGTGCTTCAGAGTGGGCAAAGGAAAAGACACTCTGAGCTTGGCAATATATATTGGGTTCATACAATAATTGGAGGGAGTATCAGATGACTGACAGGGCAGTGGTAATTCTAAATTCATGAAGATCTTATGGTGAGGAGGATCTTAGGTCCATGAGGAGCTTATGTTGATAAGGATGGTGACATGAGCAAAATGATTCTTATAACAGTAGGTGAGATGAGTTAAACTGATAAGAAATTTTCCCCCCTTCAGGTGAATCCTTTCTCCTTTTCTTTATTTAACTACTTGGTTCTCAAAGAACCAAGATGTCTTCAGCTGATGTAATCTTGCCCTTAAGTGTCACAGCAACATGGGACCACTGAGGGCTCAGCAATGACCAGAGGTGAAATGGAGCTTTGTTTCTGTATGCCATAGCCAGCTCACAGGCAAGGTGACATTGGGCCTCAGACAGCCTTAATCATAATTTAATTATGAAATTATTTTCCCCAAAATTATGTAGAATGGCTCCTGACATTGTGCTACTCATAGTTATATTTTTGGAAAGAAATAAAGAAAAGAAACTCTGGTTAGGCCACATATGTAGTGTCTCCAAAAGAAGTTGGAACTGTTGGAGGCAGTTTTGCCTTATTTTTCATTATTAGTTTAAGCATCTCTGTTAATTATATAGAAAGACTTATATCTAGTGTCAATCTCAGAAATGAAAGCTATAGTCTTTGTCTGAAAGCACCAGTTAGACCAAAGAGGAGAGTTGGGACTTGGGGAGGAATAAGTGGCGATCTGAGCATCAGGACTATAGCCCTCTACTTTCTTTAGAGCAACAAGGAGCTTTTAGAAGAAACAGGCTGGGCTCAACCAAAGCAACAATAGTAAAAGCTCAAAACAAACAAACAAACAAATATTTATAGTTATAGTTATAAACTATATCTTCTACAAACTTTTAAAAATATATTTGAGCCTTTAGTTTTGTCTCTTTCTCTCTGTCTCTTCTTTGGGAGGCAGAGTAAAAACCTTATAACACAAAGTCTTCTCACATCAAAACTATATCTCTGTACTTATAGCCTTTTAATTTCTTTTTTATCTTATTTATCATAACCTCTTATTAAAAACCTGGCAGTGGCCGTTTGAATTTTAAAATGCCCCACTTTGGGATTTAAGGTATTTTATTTTAGCATAGAAATCATGATGACATTATTATATTAGAACCATTAGGTTTGGTCATTGTCTCTGAAACACATTTAATTTTTCAGCTTAGTATAGAATAACTTTTAAGTCAGTTAACTTTATCTAACTATAAAATATTAAATGATATACAAATTTTTGCCTAATTTGTTATCTTTTAACTATTTTTTGTTACCAGAATGATATTTAAGTAGAATGTATTTGTTTATAGATATATTTTATAGATTATTAATGTCTAATCTCTAATTATTAGAGTAATATTGTCTGGACTGCATAGGGTTTAGGTATCTCTAACTGTTATAACACAATTACATAACAATCATACAATCACAAGCCTGAAAATGAATCTGTATCATCTGTCTGGCTGTCTCAAATTTATTGGCATGTACAGTTATCATAAGTAGCTGGAAAACATGTAAGGGAAAGCCAGATGCTTGAGCCTGAAAAAATCCATCACGATAAATGTCTTTAGGTGAAAGTTAACAGTGTGATAATATTTTTTTTAAATTTTGTATATTTGAAGGCCTATATACTTGAGAAACAAAGATATATCATGTGGTTAGCAATAACTACTATCACAGCTATATAGAAATCTTTACATATTTAGTTTTTACTTTTCAGACAAATTTTAAAAACTTTTAACAGGTTTTATAAGGTGCAACTATATTGACAAGAATTAAGGAAATTTTTACACCTCTGATATGTTTAGGAAACAGTGTTAATGACTGTAAATACATTTGTTACCAAATATACAAGTGTATCTCATTTATATAATAACAAAAATGTTTAATCAAAGCCAATAGATATAAATCAAGTTTAAATATCGGAACCAAATTTAAAGAGATGAAAATTTTGATCATTTTATATATTTAAGGTCTAAACATATATTGTATAAAAGAGAGCACCTATTACTTATTTTGTATTATTAAACCTATGTAGTCTTAATTCTATAACCTTAATTTTAAAGCTTAGGCTCACAGCATAGCTTGTTTTTAGATTAAATATATAAATTATGTTATAAACTAAGATGAGAGCTGTTTAATCAATCATGAACTGAATATTGAAAACATTTTACAGGTCAACATTTAAATATTCTTTAACTGTTAAAGCTCACTTTTTAAATGCTCACTTTTTAATATCCAAAAGTCTAATGATGAGAACACAAGAAATTTATTTAGTAAAATATAAAACTTTAGCCTTTAAATATAGTTTTGTAAGTTTAACCAAGAGCATCTCAAGATTTCAGAAACCTGTACTGTTTTAGACATAGAAAATTTAACCTTTAATTTTAGCCAAAAACAATTATTTTAGATGACTCATCATAACAGTTAATACTACATATATAATTTTTGACCAAGAAAACCTCTTAAATTATCATACATAGACAATAACAGACTTTGTATTTATAAAAATAATTTTTAATATTATCTTGGTTATCTAAGAGCCTGCATGGAAATATGTCATCAACTTTACAGACATTTTTATTCCTACCAACTTCTTTTTTTCTTTTTCTTTTTTCTTTTCCCATTTAACTTTATTGGTACATTTTAGGTAAAAAATACAGTTACATTCATCATTGGGATCTTGTACCATTACATGAGTATCTTGGTTCTTATTTTTTTCCCCTTCTGTTGCCCTCCTTTCACCCCCTCGACCCTTCCTTATTTGCAAAGACCTTGTTTCCATTTTTTTCCTTTTCTCATATTTTTTCTTTTCCCTT